AGAGGAAAATGAAACTATTTACAATCAGTCAGAAATTTTAAATAAAATCAGGATGTATTACAAATCTCTCTATACTTCTGTAGATGCAGAACTTCTCGACATAGATCTTGCAGAAATTATAACAGTTACTGAGGTTCCAAAACTTGAAAACCATATTGCAAATACACTTGATGGAAAAATTTTGGAAAGTGAAGTCTTAGAGGTGTTAAAAAACACGAAAAACAATAAGTCACCCGGAAGTGATGGCTTTACCGCAGAATTTTTTAAATTTTTTTGGTCAGATTTAAAACATTTTATAGTACTTGCCATAAATGACATATTTCAGAGGAAAGAACTTCCCATTTCTCAAAGATTAGGGTTAATTACATGCTTACCAAAAGGTGATAAGCCAAGAGAATTTTTGAAAAACTGGAGACCTATCACACTTTTAAATGTGTTTCATAAACTTTTATCAGGTTGTATTAGTCATAGAATAAGATCCACCCTGGACAGTATCATATCAAATACTCAACTTGGATTTTTAAAAGGAAGATATATAGGTGAAAATACCAGATTTCTTTATGATCTTATGGATTACACTGAATCTAGAAATATACCGGGATTGCTTGTACTTATAGACTTCGAAAAAGCTTTTGATTCAATATCCTGGACCTTTGTGTATAAAGTATTAGAATTTTTTGGGTTTGGTAAAAACATTATTGAATGGGTAAAAATTCTAAATACAAAATTTTGTGCGTCGGTGCTTCAATGTGGATTTTTATCCGAACAGTTTTATATCCAAAGAGGATGTCGTCAGGGAGATCCCTTGGCACCTTATCTGTTTCTTCTTTGTGCAGAAATTCTTGCAATTATGATAAAACAAAATCAAAGTATTAAAGGAATTGTTATTAACAAAACAGAACATAAAATATCCCAATATGCAGATGATACCTGGCTTGCCCTTGACGGTTCGCCTAAATCACTTTTTGCAGCATTAGATACAATTGATTTTTTCTCAAAGTTTACAGGACTTAAAATTAACAGCTCAAAAACTAAAATTGTTTGGATAGGTTCAAAAAAATTCTCTAATCAAGTTTTCCATCATTCTCGTTGGAAACTTGAATGGGGTTGTACAACTTTCAATTTACTTGGAATTAATTTTTCAGTAGAACTAGATAAAATTATTGATTTAAACTACAATGTTCAAATACCAAAGATCAAAGCATTAATTCAGCAATGGAAAAGAAGGGTTCTTACTCCTATTGGCAGAGTTACAGTTCTTAAAACATTAGTTTTACCAAAACTTAACCATCTTTTTATATCTTTGCCAAATCCAAGTAAAGAAACTCTATCATTATTGAACAGAGAAGTCTTTGAGTTTATATGGAAATCAAAATGTGATAAAATTAAAAGGAAAGTTATTACTCAGGATTTTTTACAAGGAGGATTAAAAATGTTGGATATAAATAACTTTATTACATCTCTTAAATGCTCCTGGATTAAAAGATTAACAAAAAGTAATCAACCATGGTTAGATATTTTTTTGGCAATTAATGGTAAAGACATATTGCATAAAGCTTTTGATTTTGGCGAAGAGTATGTGTCTTGCTTTATTGTAAAAAATAACAACATTTTTTGGAAAGATGTGTTTAATTCATGGTTATATTTCATGAAAGCACTCAACAACAATTCATATATGAAAACTAAGTTTCTAAACTTACCTGTGTGGTACAATCCCAATATAAAAATTGGAAACAAAATAATTTTTGTAAAGACTTGGTATGTAAATGGGGTTAAAAGTGTTTGTGATTTTTTAGACAATGAAGGAAATTTTTTAAATGTAACTGATTTTGGAAATAGATTTCATTTGTCTAATGTTTGCATCATGCAATATAACAGTATTATTTGTGCTATATCCAGGTTTTTAAAAACAATGTCTGTAGATAAATCATCTGTTAAGAGGGAATGTACCCCTGTTATTCCTTTCTATTTTGAAAATATTATTGTATATGAAAAGTGCACTAAAGTTATTTATAGAAATTTGAATAGTAACAACATCATTCCTACATCAATATTTAGATGGAACCAGGAACTATCTATGCTTTTAGAATCTGGTATTTGTGTTCAAGATGTTTTTAAGGTTTGTTTCAGAACAACTATGGATACTTCTGCTCAATGGTTACAGTATAGAATCCTACATAGAATCCTTCCAGTGAAATATTATTTGAAGAAAATAAGTATTTTATCTGATGAACATTGTACCTTTTGTAAACAGGATATAGAAACAATACAACATATATTTTTAAATTGTACAAAAATTTCTTCATTATGGAGCAATCTTAGCATGCACATATTTACAAAAACTTCTAAAAGAGTTGGATTTAACATATGCAATATTATTTTAGGTGAAACGCCATTTTCTTATCATAATAGGGTGATAAATTTCATTATTTTATATACAAAGCAATATATCTTTTCTTGTTTAAAGCAGAATAAAATACCTATGATTACTGGGCTGCTACATCATTTAACTCTTAAGTACAAAGTAGAAAAATGTATATCAATTAAAAATTTTACAATGAACAATTTTGATAATCTATGGTCAGAATGGATAAATATTTTTGAGTTATAAACACTTATTTAAACACCAACTTTAAATATTTCTCGAATTTTATATATTTTATATTTCATTCTTGTTTAAATTCAGAGGGGAAGTGTGAATGTGTGTGTGAATGTGACTAACATGTCACTTCTTGAATAAAAAAAAAAAAAAAAAAAAAAAAAAAAAGAAGGTAACATTCATTCAATTATTATCACAAAACCATATTTAAATGGCACAACAGGTACATATATACATCTTTTCAGATTTATGTACATCTATTTAGATTGCATCAATATTTCTAGCGATGGTGACATTTACGCATAGCTGCTAACTGAACATCGACCAACCATCTCTATCACTAATATTCAGAGCGGTGTTTTTTTTCTGGTTATTCAAAGTTTTTATCAACATGTATAAATTTACAAAATACTATTACATGCACAATAAAGAAAACAAGCATTCTGAGAGTATTGCATTATGGGTCCTCCACACACCCACAGCTTATGTTCTCATATTATTGAGCATTACTTTTAACAAGCATATCAACCTTTAAAAACTGTCCACGGATTAAAATGTAATTTATACTGATTTTTTAAAATAATTATTTCACAAGTTTCAAGAAATGTTTTCCAAGGCGTTTTCATACCAAGCACAACAAATTTTGTCATACCCTTTTGTATATTTTTAAGCTCACAGAATAACCATCTCAGCAAATACAATTTATCATTGAGTCAAGTGCTGGCTTACGTTTTCCATACTAATTGTTAGTCCATTATTTACTCACTGAATTGACGATGTATTTTTCCGTTATTTTCCTATCATGACAAAGGAGCACGTGGCGGGTGTGACCGGTCGGCAGGGGATGCTCACTCCTCCATGTCACCTGATCCCACCTCTGACGTGTTGGAGGTCCGTGTTAGCTCTGCTCCTATTTTGTATTGTTTTATGGACTTTTGAGCTTCGATACTGTACGTTATCTTTATATGTTTTACATAAGTATAAATTTCACACATTAATGTGTCTCAAAATGATTTGTCTGTCAGATAGCTCCTAACAATAGTACATAAATGTACACAACGCCACAATAACAAGTCGTGTAATACCAAGACTGAAGAGATAAGTTACGTGCTAAAATTATGATGAATGTCTATATTTTCTTAACTACATATTTTCCGGCAGGCTTGAAATAACGGACATGTTTTGCAAGCTTGCCGGAAAGGCCCGATGAGCAACCTAATTAAAATAAGATGTTCCGCTTCCACTTCTTTTAAATGTTTTCTTATGTGCTTGAGAAACGGTAAGGGATATTTAATTTTGTGAGAATGCAGAAATAAATGATAATTTTAATTAAATTGTTTCGAGATGACGCTTCAAATCAGTACCATGCTGGAATGTTTCAAACTTTGTCTCATTTTTTCTACTGAGCTCTTTTTTTCGCCTCAAAATGGAAAATACGGTGAACTACAGAATGCGCACTCAAGGTCACCACGGTGTCATCCTATGAACTCATTGATTCAGCAACTTGAGCTAATGGTTCAGATATTTCATGAATTTTATGATAATTATAGCACTGGCTCAGTTATCTTTTTAGAAGATAAGATTGTTCCTTTGATGGACAAATGATACGTTTCTCAATGATATATATTTTTCCCCAAAGGTTAAAATGTCATTGAGGTATTGCTGCTTTAATATGTTTACTCACAAAAAATTGAGGTACCTTACCAGACACTTGTGTAGCAGAGGATAGTGTTTTTTATAAATCCTTTTGGGAGGAAACTTAATTTTTCTAAAATTAGATATTTTAGTGTATCAGTTTATGAAAAGCGATCATGAACTGGCACTGGTTTAGAAATCAGAATGTAATTAAAATTTTGAATGTTTGTCAAACATGTCAAAAATTTACAAAACAGATATTTGATCGAGGAACATATCGTCTGACCTTAAAGCAAAGGCTGACGATCATCCCCTGATCGAAACAGGTAAATGATCAACAATATACATTTATTTATACATTCTCACAATGTGTTAGGTAATATTTTTATTTCTTTTCTCTAGGATCTACTGAATACCATATGACGAAAATACTACATCCTTAACTTTAATCTCAAGGTTTTATTTCTAGTTGACTTTTTGCTGTTTGCTGTTGTTTGCTTTAAGATATCGTACAATTAAATAATGACTTATTGCATGCTTTCAACTTTTAAGTGAAGTTTATTTTCAAATTTTCAGCTTGCATAAACCAGCATGGCGATAATTGTGAGGCAGAGACAGCGATACATCATTGCCGCAATAGCAGCTTCGAGTTTGCTTCTCTTCTGGATTTATGTTTTGCTAAAGGAACCAGAGGAACTCAATGAACAAAAACCAGATGACTTTAGCGTAACTATTAACTTAAATGCATACCCTGTCATCAAATTAGACGATTTTCTCCTGCCTCCATCTCCCAAACAAGGACGCCATCCAAACCCGGACCGGAAGTTCTCCCAAGCAGGACAGGATGAAGCGGTCTACAAAATTTTCCCCAAATCTCTAGGATTCTTTGTAGACATTGGTGCAAACGATGGTCTGTACTTGTCAAACACAATATGGTTAGAACGAAAACACTGGTGGACCGGGCTATTAATTGAAGCCAATCCAGGACTTTGTAAACATATCGACGATCTCAAACGCCATGCTTGGAGACTGTGTGCATGCATATCTAACAAAGTGAAGCGTGCTACGTTCGTACGAGCTGACGGTGTAGGCGGAGTAGAAGGGAACTTGGACTCTGATCACAAAAAACAATTCAATGTCACAAGAAAGGTTGAGGTGCCGTGCTTCAGCATGGCAGAAGTTTTGGACAGAATCAATGTCCACCATATTGATTTTTATTCACTAGACGTGGAAGGAGCAGAAATGGTCATTTTAGAATCCATGAGAGAAGAACTTTCTTCAGGCAAAATGACTGTAGATGTTTGGTCCATAGAGTACCGTGTCTGGGACGGAAAGCAAGTTGTGCTGCATAAATCTATGGAAAATTTAAAGGCTCTCCGAAAATTTTTCAAAGAAGTTGGTGGTTATGTTGAGCATTCACACTTATCTAATGACAAAAACAATGCCGTTGGTTATGCTCTGGATGTTATTTTTGTGAATGTAAAAACTTATTGTAAACATTATAAAATTCTTCCAAACGGAGAACCATGTTGATTTTATAAAAGTTCTTAGGTTTCAAGAAACCTTTCACGGCTAAAATGTTACTGAGGCTTCACGCTTACGCCATATCGTGAGTCCTCATTCATGAGAGTGATGGCAGTAAATGATCTACAACATCTATTGCGTGCTTTTGTGAAAATGTCAGTTTGTAAGGAAATATTTTCAAATCTGTGTAGTGTGTTGAATGTTTCATATTAAATATGAAAAAGGAATAAATGATTCTCTTTAAAATGATCTTAACTCTTTATACAACCATTGCCCATGATAAATGAAAATCCAGGCCTTTTGATATCACTGGCTGCTGCTTTTTCAATAAAAATGGAACTTGTAAATTTACTTATCTTGTCATTGGTCATTAGTAAAACTATTTTGTTAAAGAAACATTCTGATTGTTACACAAGTAATCTGAAGTTGTTAGTAAAAAAAATTCTGGAGTTCACATTGACCACATTTATGTGTTTTGGGGGGAACAGGACTTCCAATAATCTGTTGGAATTCCCATGGATACCAATTGTACCCCTCTATAAGCAGACTTATTTTTGTATTCATATGAAGCAGAATCGATTCAAAATTTTATACATTAGAAAAAGAAAACACTTGCTGTGGCCTTGAATTCGACATTAAGGGGCAATATCCCTCTGCTCCAAATTTCACGACTTTTTTTTGAAAAATCCCAAAGATTGATTTTCAGCAACAACTATAGCATTAAATTCAAATGGAAAATAGTTTGAAGTATGAAGCATTGCTTACTTTTCCAGAAATGAATAATATGTCAAATCATGATGTGAAGAAAATTTGATATGGTAAATAGAAAGATAAATTATTTTTTATCTCACAATTAAATTAGAAATATGAGGTATATATGAAAATAAAATTTACTCCCATACCTATCTAATTCCCATTAGAAAACATACTGAAGAGTTGCTTTTTAAATCAGAATATCAACTTGTTTTATGTGCATGTAAAATAACACGCATCCATAAACAAGAGTTATCGTTCCATTATCGCCCTTGAAAATATTTTTTAATGAAATACGAGGGTTGTCCCAAAACGTCGTAGACAATGGTAATAACTTTTTTAACACGCACCCAATACTAATCAAATTTTGCAAAGACAAAATACATTCAATGTTCTTTAAAATTGTGAATTCTTAAATATGTATCTTTCATATTAATTATATTGGGACGATTTATATGAAGATCGATATGGTCTGTCGGCGCACGACCAAAATTTGGAATAATTTACGCATATAACTTTTACATTTGTTTTTATTTCTTTGGCACTATGTAAAAGATTGAACTAAAATTTAAATCACTGAAACCAGAATCAAAATCTTAATAATATGTCAAATTTTCATATAAATAGCATTAGAAACAGACGACTGGTGGCATGATTTTCAAAGTGTTGTTCGAATTGAGATTGATGAAAATGACGTCGTCGAACGCGTACGCGGCGTACGGAAATGTAATAAATTGTGTTTGGCATCCTTTATATTCATCAGAGACGGGAAAAAGAGTACAGAAAGGACACTACACATTATATTTTAAAAGAAAAGTTGTTTTTTAATAGTATGAGATTCAAAGATAGTTTTTCCTCTATATCGAAAAAAATAATTATTGTATGTAAAGTAGAGTACTGATCGTTTAACGCAGACATTTGCGGGGAACATTCTGGGCCATGAACGTCGTCAAACAAGGTGCATTCTCTGCTGTCTAAAATGCAAGGTGATCTTTCAACTAATTTAATTGTCCCCCGCTTGAAAAGTGGGGGATATTAATTTGGGTTTGTCCGTCCGTCCGTCTTTCTGTCTGTCTGTAACGCTTTCGTTTCCACACGATATCTCGAGAACCCTTTGAGCTTTTGCAATGAAATTTAGCATAGCAACTCCCTATGGACTAAAGAAGACCCCTATTGATTTTGAGGTCAAAAGGTCAAAGGTCAAGGTCATAAATAAGCAAATTCTGTCTGTTAAAACACTTTCAGTGTCCAGTGTATTTATCTCGAACCATTTGAGCTATTGCAATGAAATTTTATATATCAACTCCCTGTGGCCTAATGAAGACCCCTATTGATTTTGATGTCAAAAGGTCAAAGTTCAAGGTCGTAAATTTATACATTCTGTCTGTGTGTAATACTATCATTTCCGGGCGATATTTCAAGAAGATTTTGAGCTTATGCAATGTAATTTTATACCAAAACTCCCTAGGACGTCTCTCGCCCCTTTCAAAGTGCCCCGCCCCGTTTGTTTTATTAGTATTTATAGTATTACATGTCGCTATTTTTAGCGCAGGGGCATGAGGAGAGTTATTGCATATAAAACAGGTTCTCGGCGGACTTTATGTTCTTATTACATCTATTAGAACTGTTTAATAAAGGCTAAATAAATCAAACACCATGGATTGTGTGAAATTTTGAGAATACCGAACATGAAAACATGAATATATACATGTATGTGACTTCAGTTCTGCATATACTTCACGTCGTGTTAAGCGATTTCGTGGTCTAGTGGTTATGTCTCTCGCTTCGAATGTGAGATGTCCCGGGATCGAACCTCGGTCGATCCTTTTATTTATTTTTTTTTTTTTTAAATACTTTTTTTTTTACTAAATGATAGTATTCAGCATGTGAAATGAAAAATTTATGAGGTTATAAAATCATCATTACAGTGTGATAAACATTCCATATAAAAAAATCTTCTATACACATGATAAAGAATAAGCAATCAAATCTTTATATGCATATTGACATACATGTATTTTATTTGCTTCAGTATACATGTATACATTTTTAAAATAATTCTACAAATTCAGTCAGGGGGAGCCGACTTTTTTTCCCTAAGCGGGGGACACGAATTCTCTGAATTAGCTTGTTTTGACTAAAATTTGAATCTACTTAAGAAAACAGAAAGTAGTGAATTAAAATTATTTCCTTAGTCAAGAGTGGTTTTTCACTATAAAAAATATTCATATGGATGTTAATAGCCTCGTGTTGCAGAAAAAGGGACCATGACGTTATGAGAGACGTAAATTACACATTCTTTCGTGCGCCGATGTACACTTACATGGTTTCTTTATTTTTTCATTATTTTCTTATTAAATGTGGTATCGTCATGAAACTTAAAATAGATGATCATAGAATGTTACTCTTTGCTATGAAAACAAGATAAATTTGATTTAGCAAGCAGAAAATAAACTATGTTCCCTGTCTACGACTTTTTGGGACAACCCTCGTATATTAATTAAATGTTAAAAAACAATTCAGCATCTGAAATTTCTGTACAATTAAATGACTTATACGTTAAGAGATAGAAATTTCTCAATTTACACCGTTTAAAGGAACTGAGTATAAATGTTTTAGGTAAACTATTATAAATAATTAATAAATATACAGGGTGTTTCAGCAAACATGTCCCGACTTTGCGGTTTCAATATAAATTTAGACAGTGTTAACGAATTAATTTTTTTGCAAAAATGAAAACCACTTAACCAAACAATTTTATCAATATGAAAGTTGAAGTAATTCTGATTCAATTATTTTTTAAAGAGGCATTTTTTAAGCTTGAACATCTGCAGCAATTTTCAATTCAACGTCATTTTTATTGGTTCTAAAAAGGCACAATATAGCAGTCAGCATCCTCATTTTGTCTCTGAAGTCCTTTATGACATATATTTGGACATTTGTAATGAAAAGTCTGTTTACTAGAAAGATGGCTTTCATATGAGTACTTTTTTCAAAATGTTATGCACTAATATTGATGATTTTGGAGATTTTCTGTTAGTATTGTTTAGTTTATAAACATCCATAGATCCATTTCTGAACAAAAAACCCTCACAAACTAATTCTTGAAGATGTAATTAAAAATGTATTGACTTAATTTTATATTGATTATATCACAATGATATTGCAAGAGAATGGGTTTTAAGATACAGTTATCATTTTATAAATATTTTATTATTGTGCAAAAATATAGACATCAAAAGTCGGGACATGTTTGTTGAAACACCCTGTACTAGCAATAGAAACTAGAAATCAACATCAGTACGATAGAACAGGTTTGATTAAGTTGACTATAAAATGGTCCTTGTAAATAAAATTTGTAAACTCTGACATGACAATTCACCGAATTTCATGAATAAATGACTGCAGAGAGTTATCTCTCTTATCAGAGGGATATTCCACCTTAAGGTAATTCCACCCTCCTGTGATGTCATAGGTTTTTGCAAAAAACTGTAATTAATTTAAATTCATACTTAATAGAACAATATCTTTTGGAAGAATGCTTTACATTAGGTGTAATGATAAATATTGTTAAGTTAAAGAATTTTAAAAATGCATAATTTCTTTATTTAATCAATTATTCAATCATTAAAAAATGTTGACAAGGGCAATAACTCCTTCTATGGTCTCTTCATTCAGGCATTTGCTTTATTGTACTTCTAATGTAAAATAGTTTCCCTGATATTCACAATTCAAAAGTATCTTATAAGTAAGAAGCATTCAGCATAAGAATTATGCATTTTAACCAGTTTTTACATATTTTTCATAATACTGTTTACAAAAAATGTGCGATTTTTTGTGTTGACATACACTTTTATTTATTTATGTTTCGCATCTTAAATGATATGGTGATCTATACATTTTTTTTTTTACAATATTTGGAAAATTTAAAGTACATATCAAATGAAAGTAAATGCAGTTTTTGTACTTTGAACCATTAAAATTGTGAGGGTGGGAACACCTTAAGTTCTACATCGACGACGTATTATCAATAAACAATATAGTTATTTCCAACGATAGTTATTTCCATTCAAGATTATGTCAACACGATATATACCGGTGATCTTGAAATAAAAAGATACCACAGTGTCTGACAAATATGTTTCCTATTCGGATATTTTACAAGAAAAAGCCGTTAATGGTAACCTAACAACCCAGCTTTATGGTCAACTTCCCTTACTTATGCAGTAATATACATTGTATCTTCATCACCTGCATACGGAGTTTGTATCTCTCAGTTGATCCGATACGGGAGAACATGCTTCACGTATGAACAATTTCTAAAACAAGGTAAGTTAGATGAAGCTGATGAAGCAAGAATACTCAGCAGCCTCGTTTAAAGTCATCATTTTGTAAGTTCTATGGTCTATACAATTACTTTGTCAGCAAATACAATTTATCATTGAGTCAAATACTGACTGACGCTTTTCACACTAATTGTTAGGCCATATACTGTACACACTCAGATGCTTACCGATTTTTAAACAAATATTTACACCCCCTGGACATAATAAGGAGCACAAGGCACGGCACCTGATCCCACCTCTGATGTTTT